GCTGCGCAGACTCAAACTTAATCTGTGCCTTCTATACCGCTTACTATTCGGAGCAAGCTTCACTGTTCAGCCACAACTTGAGTTTCAGACTTGTATGCCCTATGAACTAAGAGACAGCGAGAGCATATTGCAAATACAAAAGTCTCTCACCAAGCTTCGAACAAAATTTTTCTCCGTAAAATATGCGTTAATATGGGACAAAGTTCCACCGAGTATTAGAAACTGCACTACCTATCCGCAATTCACACGTATGATGAATATTCACCTGACTATTCCAAATATCTGGTCAACACTTAGACAAAAGAGGACTCTAGATGTTTTGTATGAGAATGGTCCTGGATAGACTTGAAAGTCGCCAAATCCCCTCTTTGTCTCAATATTATAATGTTACCTACATATATTTAAATTCTTGAGTATGTATCTATAAACAGCCTTACTCCTATCACTTCGTCTAACCAATTCTGTTTTCACCTTTGATGTACTGGCTCGAAGATGCACTAGGCCTTTAAAGCTGAAGTCTTTGTACCATCGTCGTCACTCGCCAAGATTTTTCATCAAATTGTGATTAGCCTATCGGTAAATGATTGTATTCACTATTATGCTTTTTAATTCCTCATACTCTATATTCTGTCTTGTTTCATTGTTGGCCATGACGGGGTTGATCTCTAGTGACGACGGATTACAGCTTCCAAAACAAAAAGTATACCCATACAAATCATATTGTTACTGACTCGCTGGCTTAAAACAAAAAAACTGCCACACTTGATTGATCCGCATGACGGAATGGGTTGAGGTTTCATCCCCCATAATATATGCAAAAAACAGCCCTTGTGAAAACATTTGATACCCAGCTGATGGCCTATTTACTATTTTGTCACACCGGCACAAGGCCAGTTGGAGCATGGAAGTGCGGTTGAAGCCCAACGAGGGAATACCCTGCATGAAAGCAGGTCCCATGGGGACAGTTCCATGGATGACCATATAACTTTACTTGAATTTTCCATGAAATCCACATTTTAATAGTTCAATAGTGTATGATGGGATAAAAAGCATAACTTTACAAGACGCACAGGATGGGTATGCAAAAGAAAATTAAAATAAAAAGGTTCCAACGTGGAACGTGAATTATCAGTGGTTTAGTCATTGCAGTTCATCAGTCTGTTGTGTAGCGTTTGTCACGAAGATGGAAGTCTAAGAGTCTTTCGAATGTCGTCATGTCTGGTGCTTTCACCACATATCTTGGTAATGCATTCCAGTGAGAACAGATTCTAAGTGAGTAAAAATACTTTCTACAATTCATACGGGAGCGTTGCGTAACTAGTTTCAGGTGGTTTCCTCGGCTTTGTTAGTAAGGTGCTAGAGTCAACAGTGATGTACATGGATGTTCCGCGAAGAAGTCGATATTCTAATGAGAACACACCGAGTACACGGAGACGCAGTTAGTAACTTAGAACGGATAGTCCACGCGTTGCCATTGTGGCTCTTCTTTGTCGCTGTTCCAAAAGGCAGATGTCTCTTGTTAACAATGGACTCCAGGCCTGAATTGCATATTCAACGTGAGGAGGAATGTAGGAGTTAATCAGCAATGGTACTAGCCGTCGCTCAAAGATGTGGAAGGCTCGCCTCAAAAGTCTCAAGTTCAAGTTTGCCACACTTGCTGCATTCGAACATTGGAGCGAATTTCCAAGACTCTCTTGCACTATTATACCTAAGTCGCGTCCACTACTCACGTGCTGCAGGACGTGTTGCTCCCAACGGTATGTGTTGACGAAGCGGCTGAGCACAGACAACAGGTGGCACTTTGCAGCGTTCACTGGGAGCTGGTTCCCTTCGGCCTATTCGTTAATCGGAGTCAGTTCTTCCTGGAGGTAGACACGGTCGGACGTTGAGCGAACTGCTCTCCATAATTTAGCATCGTCTACAAATATTTGCATCTGAGATAGAATGTCTGCTGGAAGGTCATAAATGAAGACTAAAAACAGTAGCGGGCCGAGGACGGATCTTTGTGGTACACCACTGGAGATGCACAGGCTTGCTGAGTGAGTGTCGGCTACTCTTTTCTTGATTGCTGTATCGTGTAAGTAGTCCCCTAACCAGGTGGGCAGGGAACCGTTGATACCCTAGGCAGCAAGCTTTTGGAGGAGAAATAAGTGATTGACTCCGTCGAATGCTTTAGAAAAATCCAGGTATATCACATCTATGTGGACTCCTTCATCAGCCGCCCTGGTCCATGAGTCCCGAGTAATCAGCAAACTGGTGAGACAAGATCGTCTGCGTCTGAAACCATGTTGGGCTTTAGAAATTATTCGTTGACTTTCAAAGTATCGCGTCAATTCATCTGCGAGTACCGATTCTATCACTTTTGATAAAACAGGAAGGAGTGTAATAGGTCGGTAGTTAGCAGGATCCGATCGCTTACCTCCTTTGTATAATGGAGTGATAATTCCATTTTTCCACTCAGATGGGAGTGTATGAGAGTTAAGCAGACCTTGGAAGAAGGTTGCAAGTGGTGCTGCTATGGTGGGAGAAAGGTTTTTCAGTACTTTCGGGCAGATCATGTCGATTCCAGGGGCACTGTACTCCCGGAGAGACTGTAATTTGCTTGCAACAGTTTCTTAACATCTCTAATGCTTACAAACGGATAATCACTTCCAAAAACCCATATGGGAATCATAGCACAAAACATGTAACATTAACTATATTAAGTGATGACGTTGCACAAGTTGAGAAGACTACGCAATTGGTCTGTGCCTCGCACTGTCGAGGAATAAAACGTTTATTTGTTTATTATTTATGTGGAAGCAGGGCATCGTCACCCAAATTTTCAATGCTGGTAGCCGTTCGGAGCCCATTAACCATTGATCAGTGATTCTCCTCGTGGTGCTCTCAAAAGTGACGGAGCCAATCATAGATGTGGCTCTAATGGGCTAATTTGAAAGATCTAATACCATAGCATAGGAACAACACGGATTCCGCCAGCATCAGTCATGCACTACCAATCTGCTGATTGCGTGTGGCAGTTGGACCGAAATAGTCGACGGTGGGACCGGCACTGATGTCATCTACCTCGACTTTTCTAACGCCTTCGACCGCTTAGATCACCAAATCCTTCTCCAAAAGCTGCACACGTACGGAGTTGGAACCCGGTCCTTGGATGGATCGGAACTTCCCCCATTCAGTGGCGGCTTCAGTATCGGGTTAGGGGTTTATTTTCTGAGCTTATCAACGTAGACCGCGGTGTCCCAAATGGATCGGTGTTAGGGCAACGCCTATTCCTAGTCTTCATCAACGACCACGCGCGTGTCGTCGAGTCGAAATTCCTGCTTGTTGCCGATGACATCAAGATATGGCGGGCTAACTGTCGTCAGGACGACCACGATGTGTTGCAGAAAAACTTAAACCGTGTCTTTGGATCGTCAAAGGTAAACCTGCCTCAGCTAACCAACACGTTGGTCTCTTACGGAGGGGGTTCGTACGGTTAAACCCTCCATCTTCCCCCAAATGCTCAATGCGTATGTGAGGTCCCATGTGGAGTACACGATTCAGGCCTGGTAACCCTGGTTAAAACGCGATCTGGTTACACTGGATACCGTACATCGAAGGGCAACCGAAAATGGGAAGGAAATGCTCCACCTGCCATACCATCTGCGACTGAAAAGTTTAGGAGTGTACAGCGGTTGTCATTCCGTCTACGGGAAGACCTCATGCTGGCGTTCCAGATCTTGAAAAATAACGGTCACGCATGCCGTCACCTGTAAGTAAGCTACAGTACAACATTCAGAGGTCAGCAGTTGAAACTGGCTACGCAATTCAGTCGGCTGGAATGCCGCCGGAACTATGTGTCTCTTCGAAGTTGTCCCTCATGGAACGCTGTACCGACTTTTGTCATTTTTGCGCCCACGCTACCATTTTTTACAAAAACGACTCAACTATGCATTACAACACCCGCTTACCTGATCTGATTACTGTTCCCTTAGTGACAACAGGACGCAGATAAAGATTGTGCACTCCAGCCCTCACAAAATCTGTGTAAACGGATATATCTGCGTAGGTAAACGACTACGCATGTGTATCATAGAACACAACACGACTTACAGTGGTATATACTTACGAATACCGCGGTGTGTACACCAGTGTGAACCTAAAGTTGTTGACAATTTTTTATACTTTGAATTTTCCTTATAATCATCCTGCGGGACCTGTTAAGTTACTGTTTTTTTACCTGTATAAAACCATTGTTCCATTGTTTGTCTGTACTTAGTTCAAGCAAGTAATGAGTGTACAGAATGGTAGACATAAGTGTGCAAATGTGCACAGGTCCTTGGTCACGTGCACGTAGGCACTGTGTGTATACGTTAAAGCCCAGAGAGTGAATAAAGTGCATAGAGGTTACTTTGTATTATACCTATACAATAATATATTAATAACTGTTAGAGGATATAGTATAGAAAGAAAGAAATCTCAGCGTCATAAGTGAGACTTCCTTCCGTTACTGTCAATTCGATCGCACAACCAGATTATTATGGGTAACGTTGTGGTTGGAGATCCAATTAAACCGGTAGCCATTATGTCAGCAGCTAGGGCTGAGTGGAGAGGTGTCAAGCGAAGCTGGAAATCGATGATTATGAGGAAGTGTACACAATCCGACCATGCAGCAACCATGAATACCAACCGCAAAGAGCCTTAGTGAATGACACAACTCTTTTATTCATCACTTGTTCTAATGAGAGGAATCAACGAATAACATTGTTTCCGACGCACAACAAAACAGAATGCTAGGAGAGCGCAACTGCAAAGTTGATGGGTAAAACTAGGAACCGACTAATAAGACATGAAAACCCTGGTGAAAAATGGACAATTATGTCAAATAGCATGGTTGTGGTTTGTTGATAGTTGCAGCGCTGTTTGTATCTACTCCGTTGGTTACGTAAATGATTTAAAGTATCCGTTCGCTTTGCAAAATGTCAACACACAACGCAACTAGACATTGAAGGACTCACTGTTTGGTCGATTTCCGTGGTATTCACAGGTTCCTCGAAATCTTCAGGAAACTGGTCTTCTGACTGGTTAAGCTAGACGGTGCGTTAGAGAGGAAAGAACGTAAGGAGAGATCCATCATTGCTCCATCCCATACAGCCATAAACTATGCTGAATTGTGCATAAACAGTGTTGACTCATGTAGGTGACACTTGATAACTATAATAAGTACATCGGGAAGAGAATTCTTCCCTAACCCGGATTGTTACACTTTGCGCGACATTTTAAACCCTTTGAAAAGTTAATTCTCGTGCACCCTGTTCTTGGTCAGCGGAATCTGTGAAGTACAGGGTTGCACGGTAATTGGTTTTGGGGCGCCTAATTCCCCCAACTGTCTACTTTCCAAGAGAGCGAGAACAAACAGCACGAAGACATGAAATAATCTGAATTCAGGTTATCCCGCATAAATGCTGTTCGTTCTCGCTCTCTTGAAATTTCTGAAAGGAAATGGCTGCATGAAATACTTAAAGAAACGCCTCCCTCCTGACAAATTTCCTTCATTGGATAAAGTAATGTCTACTTTCCATTGTGCCGCTGCACGGTTAACAGAATTCGGCAATTGTTTTGAACTAGCAATTATTACGAATTTCATAACACCGACGCATTCTATGCAGCGCTGTTTCTGGAGGCAGTTGAAGCTTTGGTAAGCATAACTGCACGATCAGTTAGTTGAATCGAACGAGTTTGGCTCACTTGAAAAGCAGAAATTTCAATAAAATTTGAATTTTGCGCAATTAGCAACCCCAGGGATAGGATAACTTAGCCTATCTCCAAAAAGGCAATTCCTATTGTCGAAATGGGTGCATGCATTTGACATGCTAGGAAAATGCACATGGGGATCCATGAATTTTTAAGCACAAAACTAGAAACACGTTTAACTAGAATAGAGCCTGAGATAAAACAAGGAAGCAGTACAGGCCAGGATTACATGAATTCCGGCCCAAACGGGCATCGCATGAAGTTGGAAATCGTGGGTCCAGACTGTGAGAACACAACCAGGTCAGAGCAAACTACAATAGGCATGAGCGAGAAACTCGTAGGAGTACTCCTTTAGCCGCATGGAAACACACGGGAGCGATTTCCGATTCCCAACGGGTATCACTCTGTGTATATAGTTTCCAGATGAAACAGATAGCATTCAGGCCCCAAGCACATTGTAGCTGGAATCAGCACTCAGACACTCGAGTTCCACCGCCTGCCCCACTTTGAAGGATACACAGTTAAGTGTCCGAGTAGAATCGCACAAACTAACAATTAGTCATCACTCCCCTTTATGGATGCAGCAGTTAAAGCAAGCGTCAAAAGTGTGGAACTTGGAATAATACCCAGCTCTCAGATTGAGCAGCGGAGGTAACGTCCGCCAAGGTTCCGGAGGCTACCTTAACCGGTTGTCCCAATTTGAGAGTTTCTTCATCCTAAGTTAGAAATCCACAGACCACACTCAATTTCGTAACATGAACCAAAGCTGTAAGGCAATAGCTATTCAAATCATGAATTATTAATCCCTTAGGAGATTATATCGTTTTCTGTTCATATCCAGGAAATCAACCGGCAGTGTTTTTCCTAACTCACCACTCACGGGATGCATGTGCACTGTGTGTTAGAACGGCTCAAACAAGAAGACGCCGTTACGGATGTGACTCGCCACTAAATAAAGTCACTGCCCCTTGCTTCATTCTGGCGAAGCATTGTATTCCAGCAACCTTATGCTGTACTTCTGGGGAGCATTGGGCCTCTGTTTGACAAAGGAACAAACAAAAGGCGTATGAACTGAGCAATCAGTCACCGGCTCCCAATGGGCGCGATTCCCTGAAATCGCTCCGCTGCCTTGCGGGCAGGCTATTCAGCCAAAGGCTCGGGGTGGTGTCCCCTAAGTCAACACCCTACTTCGGCTTGGGCAACCGGGTAGTATCTCGCCCTCTGAGGAAACCATGGACATTGTTGTGTTGTGTTTTATTTTACTGTTTCTGTACCTTCGTTTGAATCCCATGGTTTCTGATGGCATTATGTCTGTTAACAGACTTTTGCAAATATATATATATATATAAAGCAAAGGAGCACAACTACTGCACCTGCACCAACAACGACGAAACATATCGCCTTGCCGTACATCAAAAACGTATCCGAAAAGACAGCCAGACTCCTCAAACCGCACAATCTGACGATAGCTCACATACCAACTGCGACTTTGAAAAGAATGTTATCTAGACCTAAAGAAAGACTGGAGGCACACGAACGCCTAAATGTCGTCTGCAGGATGAAATACGAGAACTGTGACTAAGACTATGTAGGTCAAACGGGGAGAAAACTATCCACAAGAATACAAGAGCACAAGCGTGCGTGTCGATACCATCATGTGTCGTCACAGAACTCAGCGCACCTCGATGAGGAAGGACACAAGGTTAACTGGGACAAAACAGAAATTCTGACGCACGGAGGGACAAGAAAAGGAAGGGAATTCCTCGAGGCATGGTTCTCTACGGAGAATTCCCTGAACCTATGCATTTAACCTGCTCCCGTGTACCTACAGCTGAGAAAGAGTGAAACTGGACGGCCAAATATCGAAAAAACTGTGGTCACAAGACACAGATCGACGAGGTTAATTTCAAACGCTACGTCCCGATGACACTTTCCGTGAGATTTTCCTCTACGGAGCAGTGCACTGAAGATGCCACTGAGGGAAGTGGGGAAACGTTTGTCATTAAACTACTCAGCTCGAAGAACGAATCAAAACGTCAACTAGGGTGTTAGAGAGCTGGTATGCCGTCCGCATCAGCCCTCCTTCCGAGCTCCGGATCAAAGCAGCTTGCCCTAAACAAAAATACAAAAGCAGCCGCTTAGTTGGACCACCTTTAGATAACAGTTCGTATAATATCACTCAGCCAGCCAATGAAACTGGCAAACACACCGCTTACAATACATTTAAAGACAGGAGCATAGAGCTGATGGCGGGATCTATGGATGTGACACAGATGTGTTCATCACCTAACCCAAAAAACGATTAGTTGCCAACCTTACACCGGTCGATGCAACCTCATACACAAAACCCACATCCCAGGACTCATTGTTAACAGAGAAAGTTTTCTGCATGTACACCAATACACGGGGTCTCCTGAGCAAGCTTGCCGAACTGCAGTTACGTCAAGCATCACACGCCTGGGACCTCATATTCATAAGGGAAACATGACTGCATTCAGAAAACACCGACGCCGAAGTCGAAACGATCACACCTGTAAAAGAGGTGGGGTAATTTTAGATTACCGTAATGACCTGCATTGTAAAGCGGCGGAAGATCCGGAAACATCGCACAGAGACTCGCTCTGGTGCGGTCTGCGATTAACATGCAAGGACACTTGTCTTTTGGCAATTGTTTATCGTCCCCCAATGTCTACCCCAGAGATTGACTCCCGCCTGACATTCGTATTGGGGACGGTACTTCGACAACGATACAGCCATGTTCTCATCTCCGGCGACTTCAATGTTCACGATTTAGAAGTTCCGGCTTCGCCCAACGAACAATTCAAGGCAGACCTGCAAAAGCGTATTTCAGCAATTTCGCGCTTCAGCCATGTCAAGTCGCCCACTAGATTCAGAAGGGGAAATAAGCAATCTGTGCTTGATCTGGTGCTCACGAACGAAGAGCTCATGATCGAGAAACCAAAGAGGGAAAGCCCTCTGAGGCGGAATGAGCACGTACCAATACTTTACGACCATGTGTGTTATGCGGATAATCCACAAGCACATGGTGAATTGTTTCGAACACCCACTCACTAGGACACACTCATAGCACTTGTTGGGGATGCCATTTGGGACTTTTCGGGCAATTGCTCCATTAAGATTGTATGAAGGGAATTTGCAGACAAGTTCAGCGATCTGATTAAATCCGCATCTGTAAACACCCACTCGTTCTACAAAAACACCACCAATCATTTGGAGCACAACTGGTAAACGCATCGGGTCAAGAGACGCAGCGCGACAGGTGAATCCTAACCCTTAAAACCGGAGCTATTATGTAGTGCATCGTAATCATTGTAAAACACTTGTACATGAGGACAAATTAGTTCACCAGAAGAGCCTAGCAGATAGGTTTTGTGGTAACAGCAAGCTTCTGTATAGACATGTGAACAGCCTCCGGAAGGTAAAACGTGGGGTTCACCCACTTACATCAGCAAACGGATATACTCAAACTGTCAAGGATGCGGTTAACGTTCTACGGCTACAATATGCTTCAATATGTCGATGCGCCACCAGCATATGTCGCATACTTGGCCCCAGACGCCAATATTTAGACATGTTACTTTTAGTTCAGCGACCGTTTTGAGGAAGTTGGTATCGTTGCTCACCCATGGTTCCTCCAAAGTTGACAACTTTTCCCCAAAAGCACTTCAGGTGGCAGCTACGAGAATAGCTGAGCCATTAGCTCGATTTTTCCAAAGATGCTTGAATGAGCAGCATGTCTCCGAGATCTCATTTAATTTTTTAGCCCATGTTCTCTAGTTGCAGGCTTCTGCCAGAAAAGTGCTCGCCTACATAAGTCTAACTCTTATCTTGAGGGATTCCAGGCTTCAAGCCCTTAAAATATGTGTTAGGCTGAAGCCTGAGTACTGTACGATAGTGCATGCTAATTTGAGCAAAGTGAGCGTCATAGCACTAGAAATCATTCAACAATCATTCACAAAGTTTTTAAACATGCCTAACAGTATGACATACCGTGAGCTTTGCAAGGCTCTAAAAGTAGACCTGCTATGGCTGCGCAGACTCAAACTTAATCTGTGTTTTCCATAACGCTTACTATTCGGATTAAGCTTCACTGCTCAGCCACAACTCGAGTTTTAGACTCTTATGCGCTATGAACTAAGAGACAGCGAGAGCATATTGTAAATAAAAATGTTTCTCACCAAGCTCCGAACAAAATTTTTCTCCATAAAATATGCGTTAATCTGGAACAAAGTTCCACCGAGTATTAGAAACTGCACTACCTATCCACAATTCAAACGGATGATCAATATTCCCCTGACGGTTTCGA